TGCGACGTTAAATAATTCCTGAGGAGTTACGGGGGATCTCCTTAAATGCCTCCTGATCAGCAACAGGTCTAGTAGTGACAGCCATAGTTAGGTCTAGGCTAGAGATCCTAGTTGGCAGGATCCCTGTCAGGATTCTGTGAGTCTTAGATTGAGTCCATAGGTTTGTCAGTCAGGGTTTAGAGTCTACGTGGTGTGGCTTGGAACCGTCAAACCGGTTGTGCACTAATCACCATGGTTGAGACCCGTAGTGGGACGAGTACTAGCCCCTACACCCCTGAGCAACAGGAAAAGATGGCCACCTTAGTGAGAGAGAACAAGGAGAGGAAGGAGCTCTTGAAACAGGGGAAGCTGAAAACTATCGCAGAGGAGCAAGCGGCTAAGATGAAGAGATTGGAGGAGGAGATGAAGAGGGTTCAACAGGTGGAGGAAGAGAGGAGAAAGGCTGCTGAAGAGGAAGCGGCGGCAGGATGCGTATTGAAAGTAGAGAGGAGAGCAGCGACACGAAAAGGGATGAAGATGCAGAGATGGAAAAGAAGATAAGCGGGTGGATAGCTAACTTATCATTGGGGGAAGATGAGGAGGCAGAGTTCTATGTGCCTCAGGATGAGAGTTTTGTGTGTGTGTGTGGGTGTGTGTGTGTGTGTATGTGCCAGACACATGTGAAGTCGCAGTCGAGCGTGGTAGTGTAGACTCTGTAGAGTGGAGCAGTACAGTCGAAGTCGAGCGTGGTAGTGCAGAGTGAAGTAGTAAAGTCTAAGTTGAGCGTAGAGTAGCATAGGGATCAATCTTTCCCATGCCGTGGGATTTGCCTTCACGGAAGCTTTCCACCACAGCACGCACACAGACAGACACTGAGAGAAAGAGAAAGAGGGCGTCTTCGAGCACACGCAAAAGCCGTCACCTGCAGAACAGGGCTGCAAGACAGTCCATCGCACTCCATAGGTAGCATACAGGAGTTTGTCACTTTCGCTAGGGTCATACTTAGTTTGTCGCGTTCAGTACTGGAAGGTACAGGAATGTCCTTTTTGTCGTATCCAACGGGCCGCTGGACTTCAATGCAGGAAAAGCGTCGCCCTGCAACGGCCCAAAACGCCCTGGCCCTCCACAAAAGGAAAACACAGGGCCGTACTGGCAGTCCAAACATTGTGCTGGCAATCCAGGCCATTCGCAGGCCCAACGGCCCTGATTGCCGCACAATCTTAAAGTTTTAAGATCGCGGCGCAATCTAGGTCGTTGGGCCGGTAGGATCGCGAAAGGCCTGGATCGCCGCGCGATCTTAAAATCTTAGGATCGCGGGGCAATCCGAGCCGTTGGGCTGGTAGGTCGGCGGACAGCCCGGATCCCAAAATTCTCACATTAGGAACTTTTATAAGTGTAGGGATATGACAGCACACACACACGCAAGAAAAACATACGTTTGCACATGCACACACAAACACACAGACCAGAATTACAAAAGAAGAAGGAAGTGGTTAACAAGGTCGAAGCACGGAGCTCACTTCAGCAACTGGTCTTGAGCCTGATACATCTCATCAAGTAACCGCATCATTGGCAGCACCACGGTGGTGAGACCTGTTCCTGATGCACCTGGATCTTCTCCATTGGACACATCCGCAGCTGACAGTTTGTCCTTCTTCGATCCAAAGTAAAGTGTATGAAAGAACTCATAGATCTGCCAAGTCAAAAAAGTTCACACAAATGTGGCAACTTGTCACAATACATAGATGAGTGCATTAAGTTCTAGGTCTCCATTTGCCCACACATCAGTCCCGCTGGTTCTGTTTCCGTACTTTGCACGCATGAACATGGCCAATTTCTTGGCGAGATTCGTGCCAACTCGGCATAACTATACACCCCTTTGCCGTGAAGTTCCTCAACCTACTACAAGCTACGGTAATGAGTGGAATGCACTACATTCATTGCACAAAACACATGGACTGAACAAAGCTCAAGATGCGAGTAAGCACTGCGGGTTCTCTAGCACGTTCCCCAAAACACGAAACACTTCTTGATCACAGAGGCCGGCACTCGTGCATTCGTCTACTTTTCTTTTTTCGTTCTTCTAATATCAGGTAGACAAAATTATCAAATTTCATCAGAAGAGTTAAAACAAGTCCGTCATCAAATTTCATCAGAAGATTCAAAACAGGTAACCGTTAGTAAATGAAAATCGTCCTCAACAAACATCATGTAGCAATGGATCATGATCCGCCTTTTGGGTAAGGTCAAGTATTATCTGTTCCAACCAGTGTAATGTCTTCTGATCCATAATCCATCGGGTCACCAAAAAAAAAAAAGAAACGACAAAAAAAAAAACTTGAAAAAATTGAAAAAACTTGAAAAAATTGTCGATCCAGGATTAGGAGTAGGGAGATAGGAGCCCAGTTAGGAAAACCGGATGGCAGGAGGTGTGGGACAGTAAAGACAGAAGGATTCAGGGATGCAGATGGGATGCAAAAGATGTGGGAATAGGAGGTAGAGGGAATGCGGGGCCAGGTAGACATGGTGGGAAAGTGGTGAGTAAGTAACATGTGGCCAGAGGGGCTGGCAGGGCACCCCTCCCCCCCGCGCCTTGACCCCTTGGGGATTATCCTGCAGCGTGCCTGGGTGCTGCTAGTAAGCCTCCCGAGGAGCAGGACAATCCCCAAAGAAAGGCCAAAGGATGGGAGTGGGTGGTGCTGAAGCAAAAACCTCCCCCTTCCCCCCCCCCCCCCCCCCCCCCTCCCCCTCTTGAACAGGCAGCTCCAGCCACAAGGGCAGGCTGACTCTCTTCTATGTCTAATCTCCCCCACTGCTTGTTTCAAAAACTTTGCTTGGACTGACCCCCCCCCACAATAGAAGGGGCTGGGAGTTGGGAAAAAAAAAAAAAAAACAGTAGATCCAGAGTGGCCAAACAGCGGCGAAGATGAGCAATCAATAGTGGTGGGTGATGAGAGATCCAAGGGTTTGATAGCTTTGTTTCCAGGTAGAACCACACAGTCATAGACGAGGCTCTAGAATGTCAAACAATCATCACCAGTCTTTTAAGAACTGATTGGTGAGAGATCAAGGGTTCAATTCCTGGCAAGTCGTTTGTGACGCAGTTCGTGCCGTCTGTCTCCAACTAGAGGGCACACTCCAGGCACACAGCTGGCATAGACACGCGCACAGCGTGTCTCTGTCGGGAATGGCCCCAACCACTGCCATCTGAAGCCCCGTCAGTGAGCCCCTGACAGGGAGTTTGCAAATAATGTTTGCCTTTCCTATGTGTTTCATCTTGTCCTTTTAACTTTTTATGGTGCCCTCTGTCCTTCCTCTCCAGACATGGAAAAAATTGAGTGGGAAAACAAACAAGTTGAAAATGGTCACTCGCGAAACAAACAAATTGAAGATGCCTACTTGAGAAACAAACAAATCGAAAATGTTGCGAGGCTCAGTGGTTAAGAGCACCGGCTGGAAATGCGCATTGTGGTATTGAGGTCGCAGGTTCAAAACTCTGCGGCCTCGTGCACTTCCGCAGTTAGGCGCTTTCATAGCACCCAGCCATTCATACACCCCCCTTGGGCTGACGCATGGTACTTATTACAGACACTGCCTGCGCACCACCCAAGGGGTTAGGTCCATGATTGTAGTATGCTGGTAGCGGGCTTCGGGGGGAGGACTGTTCGAGTGGTTGGCCTTTGGGGTTCTGATGACTGTTGAGTGTCTGTATGTGGGCTGAGATGATCTCTAGGTCTGTCTCGTATACTCATCATGGGCGGGGGTAGGTAGGCGGGGTAGGCGTGGTAGATAGGGCTTGGATTGGGTAGATAGATGGGGCTTGGGTAGATAGGACTTTTTGTAGGGTCTGTAGGCATGTTTGTGTGTGCCGCCTCGTTCGTATGGGCTGCTCTGTGGAAGAGACTGAGTGTGTTTGGGTACCACGGTTGTTTCCCGGCCTCATGGTCCACCCACGAGAGTCCATACCTACGTTGTACAATCCTGCATCCCAGGTAGACCCTGCTCTCTGCACACACCCTTGCGTAGTGGTAGTGGTTGGGTGCCAGGCATATACGATTCCCACGGGCGGGCTTCAGGTTGATCTCACGATGCTTGTGGGCTGGGCTTCATCCAGGTTGGTACCTGTCTGATTTCCCACTGAGGGTTCAGTTGGGGCGTGAGTCTGGGGAAGGGTTGCTAGGTAAGGGTGTCACCTTAGGCAGGGAAGGGAGGGTTGTCGCATTGAATGTAGAAAGGTGGCTTCGCTACCCATAGAGTCTGCATGATGTGATAAAGGTTCACCTAGCCTGTATCCAGGTCGTCTCCGAGATTCCGGGTGTCCCTATGGTAGCACCCGGGGTGTATGTGGCTCCTCAGAAGGTGCGGGTTGGTGTAGGTCTAGGTCTAGATAGAGAGGTCTGGGTCGCACTGCTATAGGGCTCGACTTGCAATATAGGATATAACAGGTCACGAATGATACCCCCTGGAGAAAGACTGTCCCTGGGGTTGGCACAAGCCATCTGATCCCCTCACTGGTTGAGTACGACGACAGGCACCTCCCGAGGCCTAGTGTCCATCCTCTACTACGACATGGACCTTTTTTAAAATAAATAAATAAAAAATGATGAACTTTCCTCAATTTACTTTTTCTTAAAGCACTGTGCGGATATAGTCTTAAGCCCCGTAAACTCATGGTCACATTGGATGTAAGTTGAGCTCACCTGTGACGAGTAACCGGACTGCTGCCCCCCGGAATAGAAGAGGGCTTTTTTTCTTTCTTAAAAGAAGAAAAAAAAAAAAGGGAAAGAAATAAGCTACTTAAACCAACTAATCATATTTCTCTGAGGTGAGTTGTTTTCCATTGCAAGCAGTGTTGCACGCGCCGACCGTCGGCGCCCCCTGACTGGTCGGCTGCCGACCCGCCAACCGGTCGGCTGGTCGGCACCTACCAGTCGGGGGTCGTCGGCACCCCGTAAAAAAATAAAATAAAAAAATTTGGGTCCAGAACCCCAAATAACCCCACGATGTCAATTCGTACGCTGGTAGTAGCTGCGTGAAAGTAGTCTGGGCTCTGAGCGCCAAGTAGGAGGAAGGGCTCTGGATACATGTGTTGGTGAAGGCGAGAATATGCTCTCATTGACATTCGGATTTGGTGCTTTGGTTCTCCGTTGGTGGAATATCAGTTGCATTTCTGCTATCACCGTTGGACTTTCTGGCTTTGAATGTGATTTTGCATTCTGGAAATCTGTCATTTCTCTATCGCTCATTTTCCTTGCAATCATGGTTGCATCCCTGCCGACCGCCGACCCCGACCGCCGACCGTATTGCAGCCGACCACTAGGGCCGACCGGTCGGCGGTCTGCCGACCAGTCAGAAAACAACCATCCACTAATTTTTTTTCAGATCTGAGTTGGAAGCTGTACTGC